TTCCAAGTTATATAGCTAGCCCATTGCCATTACACTGTAATATTCCGTTGAGCTATGTCAGTTACTCTGGTTCTAATGCAAATACCTTCATTTCTAACTTTATCACGTAGAGAAACCCCTCTCCAATTTAAAATTTTTACATTTTTTAGATTATAGTTTGTCTAACAAAAAAAAACCATAAACCCAAGAATGTCTTCATATAGTTATTTATACTTAGGTAAGCACCATTCTTTTATTTATTTAAATTGTTTGATTTAATTTGATAACAGTGTACCTAAATGTAAGTATCTGTATCTTTATTTCTCTCCCCAATAATATTTTATAAAGTCATACTTATAAAAACAGCGTTTTATTGTAATACATAATTATAAAATTCATTATCAACTAATTAATAAAAACATGCAACAATAAAATTACATAGGTATTAAAAACGATCGAAATCTAAGTAACGAGAGCATGTTCGTCGTTCCACATCTAAATTATATAAAAATGCATTTTTCAATTTCACTAATCAACGGCGCCGCAAAAATTTCTTCTTCTTTGGGCACTTTAAAAATTCATTTATTTAGAAAATAATATTTACAGTTACCAGTGTACAGATATTAACTAAATTAAGTATTTCTAGTCATAAAAATATTTATAATTGAGTATAAACTTTTAAAAAACTAATATATATTTAAACGAAGTCGCTCCAACACCGACGTGCGGTCCACCCTCGACGATGTCCGAAAACGGACTGTGACAGAGCTTACATAGCGACGGAGCATGCGCGCTCGCGTAAATATATTCAATTTCAGGGAAAAATGATATATTCTCTTATAAAACGGGTAATAAAAATAAAACTCTCAATTAAAAATATTAATACTTTTAAGACCTTTTTTTTAGTGTAAGAACTATTTAAAAAGCTTGTGCCGTTTTGGAGAAATTTTGCAAATTATGACAAAGATAGGTACTCTTTGGGGAATTTTTTTCTAATAAGGGGTTGACAAAAATACAATTTTGTTAAATTAAAAACATTTACCAAATCTTCTTCTGTTACCTTGTATTTTTTCTTTGTGGATTAAATGAACAGTTATTGAGATTTTTTTACTTAAATATAGAAAGAAAGAAAGAAAGAAAGAAAAGTTTATTTGGTACATAAATCAATCGTTTACAAAAAATATTTACAATAAAAGAAATACAATGTACATGCACCAAATAGGTTTCCACTCAGCATGAGTTCACGGAATTAATAAACTCCGTGAATGCTGGTTTTCAGTGGAACCATAGGAGGATGATAGATGGCGTAACAAAACAGTGATTAATATGTAGCAAACACAATCATATAACAAACACAAAAAGCCTCATATAACAAAAACAGAAAGCAAAATAAAACAAAATTAAAAAACAACAAAAATAGACATACAAAAAAATCTGAATTACAAAAATGAAAAAAAAAAATAAAATAAGACAATAGAATTAGTTACAAATACATGCTTGAGCTGTATGCAAATATTAGTGAGTTATGTGTGGTCACTACAGTTATGCCTTAATTGTGCTTGTTTATTCTTCCAATTATACGGAAACTTAAGTGCTGGACTTTTGTGTTGAAAGGAGATACTTTTTTAAGTTGTTTTTAAAAGACTTAGCAGATGTTGAGTTTCTGATTGGTGGAGGGAGGTCATTCCAGCACTTAGTAGCAGCAAATCGGAAACTACCACGGAAAGCAGCTGTACGATACCGGGGACAAATGAGCCGCAACGCTGATCTAACATAACGATATGAAAATATTAGCTTTTCGAATAAATACGAAGGTTCTTTGTTCCGTATAACCCCAAAAAGCAATGTGGCGAGATGAAGTGTACGTCGAGTGGTCATATTCATCAAGTCGTGCCGGTTAAGAAATGGAGTTATGTGTGATCGTCTCGGGATTGTAAAGCAGAATCGTGCGCATGCGTTTTGTATCCTCTGTATTGCTTTTTTTGTCCTTGCATACAGACATTCCCCATAAACGGTGTCAGTGTAGGATAATTTGGACAAAATAAGCGTTTCACATAATTTAATTCGCATGTCTACCGTTAAAAATTCGCGAATCCTATATAAAACCTTAAGTCTGTAGAAGCAGTTACGCATAGTTTCTAATATATGACTCTCAAACCGCAACTTTCCATCCATCACTAAGCCAAGGTTACGAACTTCCAATACACGTTCAAGTAAACAACCATCGATAAATATTTGCGGATTTAAAGCAAGGATAAAATCAGTTTGCTTTCGCCTTCCCACGATCATATATTTTGATTTGTCTGGGTTGAGGACAAGATTGTTGAGATTACTCCAATTATTAATAAGATTCAAGTCTGCGTTAACGTTCTTAGTAGCATTATTGGTGTCATTAGGCTTGAAAGAAATATATAATTGAAGGTCATCAGCATATAAGTGGTATTTACAATACTTGATAGCAGTAACGATATCTGCAATGTATATGTTAAACAACATTGGTCCCAAGATGGAACCCTATGGTACCCCTCTGGCAAGTGCCATTGTAGCCGATTTCATTTCAGGCCCATAGTAATTGTCAATTTTGACGTATTGCTTACGATTAGAAAGATAGCTCGCAAACCATTTTATTGTAGTGGACTCGAAACCGTAGTAGGCAAGTTTTGAAAGAAGTAGCGTCGGGTTTAAGGTGTCAAAAGCGCGTGAGAAATCGAGCATAACCAATAAAGTACTTTCTCCTACATCTTGTGCTGTTAAAATGTCGTCTACTACATCTATCAAAGCAGTCGCGGTGCTTCGATGTTTTCTAAAGCCTGACTGTTTGGCGGGTAAGATTTTATTTGTTTCTAAATATTCGGTCATCTGTGTACAGACAATTCTCTCTAGAATCTTTGACATAAAAGGAAGGATACTTATGGGACGAAGATCTTTATAATCACTCGGATTTGGTTTTTTCGCAATTGGCCTTACTGAAGCTACTTTCCATTGCTCGGGAAATACGCCTGTTTTAATGGATTCATTGACTATTTTTGCTATTACTGTTAGGGTTCGTGGGAGTGTCAGCAGTACCATATTTAAGGTGATACCATCATCACCAAGTGCGTTCGAATTAAATGACTCTATTACTTTTAAAATCGTTAAGTCATCGACTGTTTTAAGTTCAAAAGTATTACATCCAAATCTATCGAATTCGTAGCGACTTAAAATTGACAAATTTATATTCTTTTCGCTGCTTTTGGGAAGTTTGAGAAAATAATTATTTATTTCATTAGGTTTACAAAATTGATGGCCTAGATGATTGTCATTTTTCTTAAAATTTGCTACGCTCTGTTTAATATTTTTCCATAGTAGCTTAGAATCTTTTTCCGAATTAATGTATTGATTAAAGTAAGCCGATTTTTCAGCCTGAATTGCCGTTTTTACGATGTTTTTTAATTCTTTATAATACTTTTTATGGGTGTCTAGATTAGTTATTCTACTCCTAGCATGTGATTTATCACGTAGCTTCATCATTTGTGTTATAGTGTACGTGATCCATGGATATGATTTTTTTTTCAAGTAAACTGAACGGAATGGTGCATATGCATTAAATAAATCCAGCATTGTCTTATTGAAACTATCTACCATACTGTTTACATCACCAGTTATAAGGCTTTCCCAGGCTATTGTGTTTAAATCAATGTTAAAATTTACCATATTTATTTCCTTAAGCGGTCTATAACTGAAGGGTTTAGGAACTTGTTTAATCTTTTTAATATTCAATTGACAGGTCAAAAATGCGTGGCTACTAAGCTCAGGAATGTAATTCACGGATACTTCACAAACATTCATAGTGGCACATATAATATCTATTAAAGATTCGCTGTGTTCTGTGAAATGTGTAGATTTGTTTACAAATTGTGTAAGATTCATGTAACTGAAAAAATTATTTAGCTTTATAGTGTTTGAATCCTGAGAATGTAAAAGATTAATGTTAAAATCGCCAAGCAATACAGTTTGGTCATAACTACCTAAAGAAGACACTGATTCTGTAATGGCATCAATAAATAAATCGACGCTAAGCCATGGGGGGCGGTACGCAGTACCAATCGCTACTTTGATACCGTTAATATTTAGACCAAGCCACATTTGTTCTACGTTGTTATTGGCGGGTTGAGTGATTTTGCGTACATTTATTCCGTGACTTATGTAAAACCCAACTCCACCACCACGATTTCGTATTTTTGGAGAACGTGGAATGTGTATTAAACGATAACCTGGCGGCGACGGGGCACGCTGTTCTTCCCCTTTTTTCAGCCAAGTTTCGTTAATGGCCAAAATATCGACATTAAAGCGTAACACTACAGCAAGAAATTCATCATGGCGCGTTCCCAAGGACCCAGCATTTAAGAAACCGATTGACAATCTCTTATTTTTGACATACATATACACAGTTGCAAACGTCACTTCACTGTGCTTGCAGTGCGCTATAAATTTACATAATAGTGTTGCATGACGCCATCTTAGGCAGTAACCAGAATGTAACTTCAGGTAAATGTTCACTTTGCAATATAAAAAGTGTGAGTGTCTCATTTGTACCTTAGTGAGTGTTATATTTGTTGTCTGTGAACAACCAAGCATGTAGATTTGTTTTGGATAAATTGAACATAAACTCAAAAACATATAGATAGACATTTGTGATAAACAAGAGTGATAATTTTTTTTACTAACACTAATATTTGTAACATAAATAATAAGAAAATAAAACAAACAATAAAATATAACAATCATTAACAACATTGACAGAGCTACAATTTGATACATTACTGTAATAAAATAATTTATAATTAACATAAGAGAATAAATTATATCTAATGCTCTAATCCTTTTTTCAATATTGCGAAGTATGCATATTAGGCGAGTAATTAGAGGAGGTTTGCTTAATCTAAATAAATTTATATTATTTTTATTCTCGTAAAAAACATAAACTGAACTAAATAAATTATTGCTAATGAGTAAAAGTTGATGACAATGCACGAACCATTTTAATGCCCAAAAACTTTAGCAAGGTCGCTTTCGAACCGCAGCCGATATCGCAGCTCCCCATTATCTTTCCGTGCGAAAACTTTTCCTTCCCTTGTCCACACGTACTTCCAACCAACACGTTTTGCTTCAAAACGCGCCTTGTAAAACAGCTGGCGGTTGTATTTTGTCAACCTTTCATTAAGGTAAAGTGGACAGGTGCCGGAATCGAGTCCCAGCCCGGCAGTAGTGGAGTTGCGACGAACTCGAGCCGCCGCCAATAGACAGTCCCGATGCGTGCGTCGTGCTAACCGCGCCACAATCGGGCGTGGCTTGGTATTTTTAATATCAGCGGGCTCACGACGTAATGGACCCGCACGCTCTGCGCTGACAATATCACGTTCCTCAAGACTTACGCCCAGCTTTGTTGCTACCGCCAGTACGAGGTGTATAGAACGCTCACTTTTTTCTTCTGGGATACCAGCGATTTCAACATCATTACATAGTAGCTCTTGATCCCGGTCATTTATCTCCATTTTCAGATCAGCAATAGTGTTCTCCAAAAGAGAGACGTCGTTAGACGGTTTGATATGCTGGTTTTTTTCCACCACTTCCATCCTAGCTTCTAGGCAGTCTAGTCGCTTGTTACAAGAGTTAATAGCAACAAAGAGACTCTCAATAGTACCCCTGAAATCCTGCATATCATTACGCATCTCCTTTATATCTTGGCGTAATAACCGTAGTTCATTCGCCAGTTCGGCTGTCGCCATATCCGATGCTGGTACAGATGTTGTTTGTGTTTTCTGTTTTTCATGAGTACGGTTACGAAGAGTCACATTTGTACTACATGTCTCCTCGTCGTTACTTTTGGGAGATTGTTGCAAACCGTATTTTATAGGTGTATTAGTATTGTCGGTCTTCGGTTCCTTACTAATGCATTCCTGACATTTCCATTTATTTTTATTTTCAGTTGACATAATATTGTGAAATCGTTTTTCTGAGACGCTTGTGCACAAAAGGTCATAATGCTTCGAACAAATATTGCATTTCAAAAACTGTTTGCCAACGATCTCCTGCGAACAGCCGTTACAGTAAATCTTATTTACTACGGGTGGCGCCATCTCCTGCTCGTATTCTCAAAGAGATTCGATGCGATCAATTAGATAATAAACTACGCCAAACTGAGTCACTTAGCGTTTTCACTAAATCCCTCTAGATGTCGTTATCCCAACATTTACTACTTGGATATAGATTTTTAAATTTTTGTAACGGCTTTTGAAAAATAATATTTACTAAACGTTTATCCGTGAGTATAAACCAAACAAAACATTAAAAGTTTAAAAGATATAAATAGTAACTTACACGTTGGTTTATAGTTTTTGTGCAAAAGTACTTAACTTGTAATAATATGTTTCTAAAACAGTACACAAGGAAATCATCAAATATTTGCGATACACACTACAACTTTCACGGATAACACTTTCACTGATGAGTTGCAACCTAAATCACTGAATTTTACAACTTTTACAATATATACTTTCAAAATACAATTTATAAAACGAAATATTATACACAGACTAATTGTTACTTGAAAGCCGGCGCCATCTATCTATATATATAAATATCCTAGATATGGCATTTCAACCACTGTTAAGGCCTTAATATCTAGAGATCAATACATGCGGTGAAGCGATAGCTTGTTGTAATTCAGACTAGTAGTATTGCGGTTGGCTAACATCCAGTACTCCATTAATCTGTTAACTTGCTGCTGTGTTCATAGAAAGAATTTTCTTTTGTAAAACACAATCGCATTGATGGAGATAAATATAAGTATGAATTATTTTGTGTGGGTGTTGGTTGCTAAAATAAAGTGTAAAGTTTCTAATACCTTGACCTATACTATTATTTGTGGCAGGGTATCATATTTGGGGTGCGAAGTCAGAAGTCCTCCACGTGTGCCTGGTAGTTGCGGGTCCCTCTCGATACGTCTGGAGGGAAGAGCAGATACTGGGCCGGTGCACCCTGGGCGCAGCAGTAGTCTTCCTCGAGAAATGAGAAGAAATTCTTACTCCTTGGGGAATGGTACTGCCGCGGCTAATTATTCTGACATGGGGGGGGGGGTCCGTCCCGGACCAACGGTGCGTTCCACTGCGTGACCCTCTGATCAGCAGAGGGCATAGCAGAGGAGTGAGGGCGGGCTCGGTGTGCACTTACCCTGCCTCCGGGCAGACAGTGAAGGATTCATCCTTTGCTGTCACCGCCGGTCTCGTAATCCCAGTATCGAAGTGTCGTGGATCACGTCTCGCGGCTTTGATAGGGACCGAGGGTCTTGGCTTAACCGCCCGGACCGCGAGGGAGAAAACCTCTATAAAAAGTTACCCCGAATCTCAAGCGGCGACGCACCGCGAGGGGATGGATGGCTGACGGGGTTCTATGAACAAATCAGTCGTTAGTGCGCTCCTCGCCAGGGTACCTGCAGACCCCCTGGCGAGTAATAAATCCTCTAAATCTGCTTACCTTGGTAAGGGGTCTCTGCCAAGGTGGACTTTTAATTCCCCCATACTCATTCATTCATTCATTCATTACAGCCCTTCACAAGTCCACTGCTGAACATAGGCCTCCCCCAAAGAATGCCACAAAACACGGTCCTGAGCCACCTGCATCCATCGACTTCCTGCATGTCTTACCAGGTCGTCACTCCATCTCGTGGGGGGACGCCCTACACTTCGCCTACCGGTACGAGGCTACCGGCAGAGAAACTCCGAGCATAGCCCTCTCCATAGCTCGTTGAGCGACCTTGAGCTTCCTCATACGGCCAGCAGTGAAGGACCACGTCTCAGTTCCGTAAGTCATCACTGGCAACACGCACTGGTTGTACAATTTTGTTTTAAGGTTTTGAGGTATGTCTGACGAGAAGATGTGTCGTAGCTTCCCGAACGCTGCCCAGCCGAGTTGAATCCGTCGATTGACCTCTCGGTCGAAGTTGGCCCCATACTCGTGGGTACAAAAAATGGAAACCAAACAAAAAACACAAAAAACCAAAACCGCCGGCAACGGCAACGTAGAGGAGAGGAGAAACGATGCGGGGACAGAGTCCGACGCCGCATCGAGCAGCGAGGGAGGCTCAGAGAGCTCCCGACAAGTGGAGCCTGGGACCGCGGAGACCAGCAAGTTCTTCCGCAAGCGGTCCAGGCGGGATGGCGACCAGGGGTCGGCATCCGGTGAAGAGGAGGTTTCGGCCCGGAAAATCCCCACCAACAGGCAGGGCGGGCTGAGAGGCAAGGGGAGGGAGCTCTCTACGATTCAGAGGGCCGAACGAGCGGCAAAGCTTGCCGAGGAGGGGCGCCACCCGGACGACACGGTTCGGGAATCAGGCGAAGAAACAGACGCGACTGGCGGCTCCGAGGTGGAGCGTAAGGCCAGATTCGTAAAGGAGGTGGAGGCCGCGATCAAGGTCGTGGCCAACAAGCAAAAGTCCTCGAAAGTCAAGGCCATTCCCGCGGCCTCCGCCTCCATCATGGCGGCTGCGGAGGCCAACTTTGCTGGGGCTGGGCCTAATGCGGGCGAGGTGGCGAAGCTGCGGACGGAAGTGGCCCGCCTGACGTCCGCCATGGAGACTCTCCAGAAGGAGAATAAGAAGCTCCGCGCAGACCTGGCCAGTCTACATGAGCCTGCCTCTCGCGCGGCGCCCCAGACGCAGCGCCCAAGCCAGCCCGTGCCGGTGGAGAACCAGGTTCTGAACCTGGTCCGGCAGGAGCTGGCTGCCTTCCAGCACCGGTTCTCCGTGCTGGAGGGCATCGTCCTGCGCCCCCCCCTAGGGGCAAACAAGACGGCAGCGAGGCCGGCAACGGCTTCTTACGCGACGGTCACGGCTGCCGCATCCAGGCCGGGGCCGTCCAGCCAGCCCTCGGGTGGGGCTGGAGTTGCCCCTCCCTCCCCTGAAAAGCCGGCTCCAGCAAAACCGAAACCGGCTGAACCGGCTCCGGCTAAGCCGGCGACGGGAAAGAGAGGCAAGGCGAAGGCGAAAAAGGGCAAGGCGGCAGCACAGGTGATGGCTGCGCCAGCCCCAGTGCCTGCGGCGAATGGGCCAGCGCCAGCGGCAAGCCAGCTGCCGCCGCCGCCACCGCCCCCCCAGCTCCCTACACCTCCCGCGGCAGAAGCCGGTTGGCAGGTGGTCGGGGACAAACAGAAGGGGAAGAAGGCAGCCAAAAAGGCCAAAGAGCAGGAGCAGCAGCGCCAGTTCAGGGCACGCAAGATCGCGGCTAGGCTCCGCGCCCCGAAGACCGCAGCTGTAGTGATTACACTACAGCCGGACGCGGAAAAGAAGGGCCTTACCTACCGCGATCTGCTCGCGAAGGCGAAAGAGGCGGTGGATCTCGGGGAGCTCGGGATCACTGGGGGCCTCCGGCTCAAAGTCACCCAGACGGGGGCCCGTATGCTGGAGATCCCCGGGGAATCCAGTGGCGCGACTGCGGACGCTCTGGCTGCGAAGCTCAGAGCGTCCCTGAACGCGGACGAGGCCCGAGTGTCCAGGCCCGTCAGATGCGCAGACCTGCGCATCATGGGTCTGGACGACTCGGTATCGGAGGAGGAGTTGGTGGCCGCCGTCGCCAGGTCCGGGGGGTGCACTACTGACCAGGTCAGGTCAGGCGCCATACGCCCGGATCAACAGGGTATGCATGCCGCCACGGTGTGCTGCCCTGTTACGGCGGCCAAAACCATAGTGGAGGGCCGAAGGCTTCTGGTGGGCTGGGTCTCAGCGCAGGTTAAGCTGCTGGAGCCCAGACCTCTGAGGTGCTACCGCTGTCTCGTGGGGCATCACGTGTCAGTGAAATGCGCCTCGGAGGTTGACCGCAGTGGCCTCTGCTTCCGCTGCTGTCAGCCCGGACACATATCGGCGACCTGCTGCGCTACGCCGCACTGTGATGCATGTGCGGCGACCGGCAAGCCAGCCGATCACTGGGCCGGAAGCAGGGCCTGCGTGTCACCCGCCAAGGCCAAGGCCGCGGGTAGGAGAGGGCCCTCCTCCGCCGCCACCGCCTCTATGGCCACCGCCGCAGCTGCAACTGCCGCCGCCGCCGCTGTCACTGTCGCCGCCGCCGCCGCCGCGACACCGACGCCTGCAGAGGGGCGCCCCGTGGAGGAAGCTGAAATGGAATGCCTATAACGGCCCCATTAAGCTTCCTCCAGGCGAATATCAACCACTGCGCCTGCGCTCAGGATCTGTTGCTCCAGAGCATGGCGCAGTGGTCGATTAATATCGCTGTGGTCGCTGAGCCGTATTTTGTCTGGCCTAGGAAGGACTGGGTGGCGGACCTTAACGGCTCAGTGGCCATCATTTCTTCGGCAGCCGCCGGTACCCCGACTCTTGAAGGTGTCAGGAGGGGTCAGGGGTGCGTAGCAGCACGGTTCGGGGAGTTCGTCGTTGTGGGGGTGTACTTCTCCCCGAACCGATCTCTCGCCGAGCTCCACAACTCTCTTGCAGAGCTGAGAGCAGTCGTCGTCGGAAGCTATCCCCTCCCCGTGCTTGTCCTCGGGGACTTCAATGCCAAGAACTTGGCTTGGGGTTCTCGTCGTACAGATGTGCGGGGTAGGATGGTGGAAGACTGGGCTCTGGAGATAGGCCTGGTCGTCCTAAATCGGGATTCTGTCCCCACGTGTGTGCGGATGCGGGGCGAGTCGGTGGTGGACATTTCGTTCGCTAGCCCCGCTCTGTCGCCGCGTGCCATTTACTCTCGAGTCATGGAGGGGGTGGAGACCTACTCCGACCACCGGTACATCCGGTTTGACGTCTCCACCCAGCCCTCGAGCGCGCCAGTCCAACAGGCCCCGAGTGGTCCGCGTTGGGCGCTGAAGCAGCTGGACCGAGAGCTCCTCCTGGAAGCCTCGATCGTGCAGGCCTGGGTGTCATCACCGGATAGGCCTGCCGACATCAATGATGAGGCAGGGTGGTTCCAGGAGGCCATGTCCGAGATATGTGACGTGGCAATGCCCCGCGTCCGGCCAGGAAGCGCCCGGCGTCAGGTGTATTGGTGGTCGCGTGAGCTGACGTCTCTGCGCGAGGCGTGTGTCGCCGCGCGGCACCTGTACGCCAGGCATCGCAGGCTCCGCATTCGTCCAC